TCTTGAGAAGGAGGGGGTGGTAAACCTTATCAAAGGCAGGCAAAAGGTCCAGAAATAGAGTTCAGAATAGTGTCCATTGGATTTAGCTGTTAGTAAATAATTTGTTTGTTTTAGGAGAGCAGTTTCTGTGGAGTGTTGAGGGCAAACTCCAGACTGAAGAGGATCATAAGGTTATTTTTAATGAGGTGGTTACTCGGTTGTAGACCAGACATTCAAAGAGTTTGTAGGAAAAGGGGAGCAAGGAGATGGGGCGTAGGTTGATAGGATTAGTGGGGTCTAAGGAAAGCTTTTTAAGTATGGGGGTAACAAGTGCATGTTTTAGAGTGTTGGGAAAGATGCCAGAAGAGAGGAAGAGATTGAAGATGTGAGTTAGAGAGTGTAGGATAGTGCCAGAGGGTGACTGCAGTGTTTGAGAGGGAGTAAGGTCCAGGAGACAAGTGGTTAGGTGGGCTTTAGAACAAAGTTTAGCAACCTCGTTTATAGTAGCAGGGTTGAATAAGGGAAGTGTTGAGTGTACCAGTGGAGATTTCATCACAAATTGTATCAGTCTTATTTTTTAAGCGATTGGCGATCTTCTGAGCAGGTAGTGAGTTAGTGGGTGGAGGTGGTGGATGAAGAAGTTGAGAGTTAAAGGAAGAGAAGAGTTGAGGGAGAATAGATGAGAAAATGTTAATGAGAGTTATATAAAATAGGTCTGCTTGGCAGTGTGGAGGCAAGAATTGTATTTTTGGAGGGCAGTTTTTTTTATATGTTGAAGTCTTTCTGAGACTTAGTCTTACGCTACAGATGCACAAGAGCGCAGCTGCATTTTTTGAGGCTTTTGGTGTCGTATGTCTGCCAGGGTTGTAGGGGTCTGGCCCTAATTCTGTGTGTAGTGAGAGGGGTGAGCTTGTCCAGGGTGGAGGACAGAGATTGTAGACAGAAGTGGCTAAATTGAGGCAGACAGCAGTGAGATTTTGTGATAGAGGTGGTCAGTAGCAGGGAAGAGAAGGGTTAAAGTGGCGAAGGTCTGTACAGGTATTTGTTAGCCATTTGGAGGGAGAGGTGTTGGAAGGCAGGGAGAGAGTGAAACTAATAGGGTGATGATCAGAGAGGAAAAAAAGGACTGTTTGAGAGGTTGGATGGAAGTGCATAGGTAGGAGAATACAAGGTCAAGGGTGTTGCCATCAGAGTGGGTAGCAGCATGTACCCATTGCTTCAGATAAATTAGGAGGTTTTACTAAGAAGTTTAGAAGTAGCAGGAGTGTTTAGTATTAACAGGGATGTTGAAGTCGCCAATGACTGGAAAATTCAGAAGAGCAAAAAGTAGGGTAGGCAGGCAGAGGAGTCACCAAGAAAGTTGATACTGTTCCTGGGGGCTGGTAGATCACATCAGTTCTTAAAGAACTTTTATACAGTGAGCATCAAACGATGAGAGGGACATAGAGGGAGGAGAGTGAAGAACCTGAAAAGTTTTCTGTGGGGATAGGAAGATTCCCACCCCATCTCCCTTGGCCTTTAATTCAAAGTAGAACATGCAGGATTTAGCATGGTTCTGGAGGAGTTGAACCTGGCAGCTGACCTTTGGTGGAGGCTTTAAAGTGATATTGAAGGCTTACATTTTTTTTTAATAAAATAACAAACCCATCATACTTACCTGCTCTCTGCAGTGGTTTTGCACAAAGGAACCAGATACTCCTCGGGTCCCCTGCAGGCGTTCCTGGCCCCTCCCGCCTGTTGGGTGCCCCCACAGCAAGCAGCTTGCTATGGTTTCACCTGCTGCTCTGTGTGTCCATTCACACACGGAGCCCTGGCTTGGCCCTGCCCCACCCCCTCTCTTCCCCCTGGCTGTGATTGACAGCAGCAGGAGCCTGTCTTAGCGGAAAGGGAGTCCCGGAATTGCTGAGACTCCAGTGCATGTCGCTGGAACGAGAGGGGGCTTAGGTGAGTATTAGGAGTGCTGGGGGAGCTGCTGTACAGAGAAGGTTTTTACCTTCATGCATAGAATGCCTGAAGGTAAAAAACTTTGAGCCTTTACAACCACTTTAATTGTATAAAATAACAAAATTAAACTGTAAAAACTGCATTAAATATATAAATCTGCAAACACAAAAGGAGGATATCCTCTCTTCAACATGCATATAAATAACTGGTGTTGCACTAATAAATAAAACAATCACGGTGATATAAATAAATAAGGTAATAATAAGTGTAAATAATCAAATTCATCAAATTATCATAAATTCATGAAACTAATAAAAATATTGAATATTTCATATATGTACAATCGTGCACAATGAATAAACGATAAAGTGCTCCAATGTGAGTCCCAATAATAATCTGCAAAAGTCCCTTTTAAAGGGATAAAGACAGTCGCACTTTATAATAAGTGACTACAATTCTTCCTTCAAGCTTGCGTAAACACCCACATGACAAAACACTACTGTGACTACAAAATGGAAGCTTACCAGACAGCTTGACCCCTTAATTATGGGATGTCAGCATGCACTTTATTAATAAAGTTCAAGGCCAAACTGCATAGATCCTCATCCACTCCACAGTAAATATATAGTTCATGGGAAGAAAAAAAAATTTGCTGCTCATAGTGCAGATTATTCTCAAAACATTTAACACCAAGAAATGCACTTTTCTTCCGGGCTCTAGCCCCGGAAGACATCTGATTATGATGAAACGCATCACGCGGCACCTCCCCTGTGACATCATTGCGTAAGATTAGCTTCAGAGACCGCAGTTGGTGTTTGATGTTTTTATTCAATGCTGATCAGCTTTTACTTGTGCATTTCTTGGTTATTTCTTTAATTATATCACTGTGATTGATTGTTTTATTTTTATAGCACAAAACCACTTTAATAGACTTAGTATGAGGGCTGGCACATTCAGTCACAGCCAAATGAGCTTTGTGGTTGCATCACTGGAGGGCAGGTGGAGCTTCCACACAAGCCTTCTGTGACATTCCCCATAATGGGAGGTTGTTATTTGGCAAAACGCTAGAAAATGCAATTGACCGCTTCCCGGCCACCCTATAGCAGAAATACTGCTACACTGTTGTGCAAAATCATGTATATATACTTGATTTTGCATTTCCGGGTAGGGGGCACGCTGTCAATCACCGAGCCCCGGTTGGTAGTTACTAGCCGGCGCACGGTGATTTCCAGTGATCACCAACGGGGAGGAAGACTAACAGTCCTCCTCCCTGTCAGCTCGGGCACACTGCTCAGCACAGCCATCCAGAGCAGTGTGCTCACAGTGAAAAACACATACACCACCCCCCAGTAAAACATTTCCTGCACATAGTTAAGCCTTTGATCGACCCTCATGGTTAACCCCTTCCTGCCCAGTGCCATTAGTACAGTGTCAGTGCTTTTTTTTTTTTTTTTTTTTTTTTTTTTTTTTTTTTTTTTTTTTTTTTTTAGCACAGATCACTGTATTGGTGTCACTGGGGATATCAATGACACCAAGTCAGTTCCCTCCAGTGTCAGAATGTCCGCCGCAGTCCCTCTAAGTTGCTGATTGCCGCCATTACTAGTAAAAATGAAAAAAAAAAAAAAAATCCCAGTATATATACCAACTTTTACGTAAACCAATTCATTTACACGTTTTGGAATTTTTTTTTTTTTAGCAAAGACGTGTTGCAGAATACATTTTGGCATAAATTTATGACGAAATTTTTTTTTTTTTTTTTTTTTTTAATTTTTTTTAGTGGACGTGTTTAGTAGCAAAAAGTAAAAAATTTTTTTTTTTTTTTTTTAAATTGTCGGCCTTTTTTATAGTTCAAAAAATAAAAAACACACAGGCGATCAAATACCACCGAAATAAAGCTGAATTTGTGGGAAAAAGAGGACGTAATCTTCATTTGAGTGCAGCGTTGCATGACTGCTCACTTGTCAGTTAAAGTAACGCAGCGCCGTAATGCAAAAAATGGCCTGGTCAGGAAGGGGGGTAAATCCTCTGGGAGGTGTGTTTAATGGCAAATATTGTATAGTTATCAATACCCTAATGAAGGGGACGCAGAACGTTGAAGCTCGCTTGGAACCTTCAGTAAACATTTCAACTGTATAAAACTTGCTATGGGATAGTAGATGCAACGGAGTGCTTGCATTCCTTTTGTTTCACCTCAGGAGAGAAAAATGGAAGCTGCTATTGCTGAATTTTAGCTTCAAATCTTTGAATCTCTAACTTGGAACAAGAATGCAAACGAGATGTTCTGAGTTTGTGCATCAGTATACTTGTTTCATGTCAGTGACTCAGGCAATACCTAAGCCATAGGATCACTATAACAGCCAGGTAGCCTATATTGTTTAAAGCAATTATAAACCTCACTTTTTTTTTCATTAAAATAAACATGTTAAACTTACTGGCTCGGTGCATTGCTTTTGCACAGAGCAGCCCTAATCCTCCTCTTCTCGGGTCCCCTGTTGGTGCTCCTGGCTCCTTCCCTCTGTAGAGTGCCCACCATAGGAAGCTGCTTCTTATGGGAGTACTCGTACAGGCTTGCTTCCAAAACGGTCTGTTTGCGTCTATTCAGACACACAGCCTGTCTTGGCCCTGCCCCCTATTCTCAGGGGTTTTGACTGACAGCAGTAGGAGCCAATGGTTCCTGCTGCTCCTAGCTGAGCTAGGAGAGGAGCTACTGCAGGTGTGCACAGCGCTGGACCGAGATCAGGTTAAAAACCTTTTACTTTTACAGCCACTTTAAAGAATATCAACAGCAGCCCCTGTAATTATCTCATGACAGATTTGCCTACAGGATTACAATTTTAGGGTTCTTTCTCAAGAATGATGCTTTGTTTTGGTATCTTGTCTGAAAAAAAATCAAAAATTTCTGTCTATTATGTTCACTTGTAAAGAGGCTAAAAGTAATACTTCTTTTTTTTTTCTGGCACATGCAGGATAGTTTGCATTAGCCCTATAATTTTGGGAGAGCTACATAAAATTGTCATGTAGGTTGCAGCATTTATATTTCTTTCATCTGTTGTTTTAATCTAGTTTGTTTCTTGCAGGTTGGGAGAATTGTGGAGTGTTCAGAGGCTATAACAGAAATTCTTAACAATCTGGAGCTTCTAAAACAAATAATCATGTGTATTGGTGGTGACAAGATTTCTGTGGCCAAGGAGGTGAGTGGTGCCAAAGGAAAGAAAAATCCTTAGTTCAGCCTTGCACTTTACAGCTGTCTTTTCTTGCCTACTTACACTTCATAGAATAAGTCTATAGACTCTCTATAAATATATGCACTGGAGTCAATACCTTCACATCTTAAGCTTCACCATGGCTCCCATGATTTCAGGCCACTAGAACTTTAATCTACATTGCAGGAGTGAATCAAGCGCATGCGGCTGTGCATAAACCTATTTCTGTGACCTTGCTGTCACTGACAGCTACAGATCTTAGACTAATGCTAACCAGTCATTGAGGTTCATGATCAAGTTACTGCTACAACAATCAATCATTGTGTTCAATGGCAGTTTATTTACAAACACTTTTGTAGCCTGCAGATTGCACTGTGCCTCTCTCTTTCTCTTTACAATGATTTGCATATAGACATAGGTGAGGATTTACTAAAACTGGATCACACAGAATCTGGTGCAACTGTGCATCAGGGATGTGCAATTCCTATCACCTGACACCCGGGAGATGCAGTTCAGGGTGCCGGGCAAGAGTTTTTTTTTTATATATTTTGCCCTGCTGTGGGCAAGCGGCAGGGTTTATAGCTGACTGTCAGCTCTCTTGTAATAGCAATATGAGCAGCTAACGAGCCGCTGGATTGCTTTTACAAGCAGCAGGAGGGGACTGGCCACTAACACCACAACCTCCCCCCCCACCGACACACCTGATCGACCAGCCGATGCTTCTGCAAGCTGATCCTAGAAGCAGACAAAGACCAATGCCGCTCTGTCTGTCTCTATGATATAGGAAACAGGAAGCAATGAGCATAAATCACTTTCGGTTTCTGAGCTGAGAAGGGATATAAGACCCCAGATCTCTCCATAAAGTGTACTTGTCTCTGCCTATTGATATCACAAGGGATGTTTACATTCCTTGTGACAACAATAAAAGTGGTTAAAAAAAAAAAAAAAGTAAAGCGACAGTGTAAAAACAATAAATAAATACATTTTTAAAGCACCCACACGCAAAGGTGAACACACGCATCAGTCCCACACACCAACAGCGATTGGCCCACATGTGAGGTATTGCCGCAAATGTCAGATCATGGGCAGTAATTCTAGCACCAGACCGCCTATGTAATTCTAAAGTGGTAACCTGTAAAGGCTTTTAAAGCGTTGCCTATGCATAGTAAAATTTACATAATTTGTTGCCGTTGCACGGGTGTACTCAATTTTAAATCTTTACATGTTTACTCGGTGTAACATCATCTCTTATATTTTACCAAAAATTGGGTATTATGTTGTGTTTATGCGTTAAAATTCAAAAAAAGCTTTTGAAAGGTTCCCCTTGGATATTAACAAATTTACGTAGCTTGTCGTTGCACGGGCGTACGCAGTTTTAAAGCATGAATGTTTTGTATCTGTTTACTTATCTTTTATATTTTTTCAAACAATTGGGCACTATATTATGTTTTTGTGCATTAAAATTCAAAAAAGTGTATTTTTCCCCCAAAAATTGCATTTGAAAAACCGCTGCGCAAATACCGTTTGACCTGAAAAACACCCACAAATTTATTCTCTAGTGCCTCTGCTTTAAAAAAAAAATTATATGTATTTCATGGAACCCTGGTTGGGAAATACCACTGTAGCTTTTAAATTGGGTCTGACAATCTGGTCTTAAAGTGGCTAAAGATGCACAAACACTCTTCGGCGTTCTAAAATATATAATAATAAGTCATGATGAATCACTGTAATGAGCAACTTCACATTCACTGGTCTATCAGAAGTACATTCAGATATGGTAGTCATGAGTTAAATTGCTTTAATAGAGAAATGAACAAGTGCCACCGAACTAGATATAATAATGTCATGTTTCTGTAACACTCATTAATTGCTCATATGTATTTTGTATTCATTTTAGGCTATTAAATCCCTTTCTAAAATAACTCGGACTACGGCTGGCCTTGATGTGCTCTTTGGAAGCAACTTGCTAGCCAGCCTAAAAGCTGTAATGGCCCTTAGTGATGTGGTACGATATAGAGTATATGAGGTAAGAGTGGATAGTAAATATATACATGCACATGTTTAAAGTACACTTGTAGTCAGCCATTGGTAATCACCTCTGGGTAGCTTCATCTTTTTCCTTGAGAGCTCTCTTCTACTCAGCAAATCTTTTGATTTTGTCTAAGAAGTTCTTGACCTTGCATACATCCTATTGGTGCATTGTTGTCATGGACTGCCTCAAGAAACAGCAGGACCTCATGGGAGGGGCAATGCTAAGCACTGGCTTTGCATATGAAATTGAGATTTATGTATGTTTCAGGTCTGTTTGGGAGCAAGCTGTAGCTACCTTCTGTTTGATGTAAGTGTCACTCTAAAATTATTACAGCGACCTACCTCTCCCGCAGAAACACAAGCAAGGGAGATAGTAATGTTTTTCAGAATTACGGAGAAGAGTTATTATGCCACATGGTTTATTTATTTTTATTTTTATATATATATATATATATATATATATATATATATATATATATTCTCCTCTCACCCTTCAGGACAGCACCTGGAGAGAGCGCAGCTCCACCCATAACACAGGAAACACCGCAGCTTAAAAGTCCGCCTCTTCCACCATTCCTCAGTTACGGTGTTTCCTCTGCCATGGTAGAAGCACCGCAGGGAACCTGGATTAATGTGGGGGGGGGGGCTGCACTCTCTCCAGTGGAGGAGTGCGTCAGTCGTTACCTCCCAGATGGATTGCGTGGACCAGCCTAGCTCCTTCCTCCGTCGAGGGGGGGTTCCAGTGCCCTTTCTCTCCTTTCTTGCTCAGGGGAGCGATGATCAACCAGACAGTCCTGCTGCATCCTTCTCCATCAGAGACCAGGTCTCCTGAGGTTCCGGGCCATGGGATGCCTTCAGGCGGCTTCCAGTGGTTCTGCAGATCCGGCCGGCGTGGGATGCCGTGTTGGTGGGTGGGACTTCCGGTGGGGGTAGTGATTGCACTGGTTACGTCCACTGTAATGCATGGGGAGGGGGCAGGTCACCAAGTGCTTCCGGTTCTGGGTCACCAGTGCACTGGAGACCGGCGGGAACTTTAAAGGACCACAGGTTTCAGCAAGCTGCAATAATGGTGTGACCCTCCTGCGCTCCAAATGTGTGTTAAATAATACAAAAAATATATATAATAAAAATATATATAATAAAAGAACCCCAAACAGCTGCTAGCATTAAATCATATACCAGTGATCAAGTGAATGTAAACCATAAGAATGCTGCGCTAACATTCAAATTAATAAATAAAGTGAATGTGGAATTCAATATCTCAAAAGAAATATTAACAATGATAATAAGTATAATAGTGAATGTGCTTAGTGATAACACAAAAATTATAATAAAAACACAAAATTTAAATCGATACGCATGTGCAAAAGGATGCACATACATATATTACATCACACGTGCAAAAAATGTGAAGTGAAATATATCTAAATAATACACGCAAACTCAAAGTCCAATGAATATTAAAGGTGAAAAAATTCCAATAATGGAATATTAAAGGTGAAAAAAATATATAGTTTTTGGTTGACTGTGTTTCCAATAAACTGTAAAGTAACCACAGGTGAAACAAAACGTGCAGGTATCTGGGTGTAGATAGAGCTTGTGAATCCAACCACCTTCTGGATTAGCCTCTCACCTCATCACTTCGACCCTTGCGGGTCAAAGAGCAGTAATGGATCCCTCTCACAGATCCTCCAGGCACCAAAGCACTCCAAAAACACTTCTCAGGATATAATATTCCCACTCAGCTCTTCTTCAAGTATAGATGAAATATCACTTTCCCAGAACAAAACAGAGGGATCCTCCCATAGTGTAGTATGTTTATTATAGGAACATCAAATCTTGTAATGAAAATAGACTTACGTAGCAGCCAGTCCACATTCGACCCTCATGCTTTCAAATGAGGATATATGTGTGTAAATTGGGTGTACAGCTGAATCCACAGGTGTACCAAGATGGCCGCCACGCCGGAAATACGTCACCGCGCTACGCCGACGCGTTACGTCACAATATCACGTGACTTCATCAGGGCTGTCAATCACAGTGACGATAGCTCTTTATATACCCGGCCAGGATAGAAGGAACTACCCACATACAGGTGTTTCCTTCAATCTCATCACCTTAATACTTCCTGCGGCCGCAGGAAGTATTAAGGTGATGAGATTGAAGGAAACACCTGTATGTGGGTAGTTCCTTCTATCCTGGCCGGGTATATAAAGAGCTATCGTCACTGTGATTGACAGCCCTGATGAAGTCACGTGATATTGTGACGTAACGCGTCGGCGTAGCGCGGTGACGTATTTCCGGCGTGGCGGCCATCTTGGTACACCTGTGGATTCAGCTGTACACCCAATTTACACACATATATCCTCATTTGAAAGCATGAGGGTCGAATGTGGACTGGCTGCTACGTAAGTCTATTTTCATTACAAGATTTGATGTTCCTATAATAAACATACTACACTATGGGAGGATCCCTCTGTTTTGTTCTGGGAAAGTGATATTTCATCTATACTTGAAGAAGAGCTGAGTGGGAATATTATATCCTGAGAAGTGTTTTTGGAGTGCTTTGGTGCCTGGAGGATCTGTGAGAGGGATCCATTACTGCTCTTTGACCCGCAAGGGTCGAAGTGATGAGGTGAGAGGCTAATCCAGAAGGTGGTTGGATTCACAAGCTCTATCTACACCCAGATACCTGCACGTTTTGTTTCACCTGTGGTTACTTTACAGTTTATTGGAAACACAGTCAACCAAAAACTATATATTTTTTCACCTTTAATATTCCATTATTGGAATTTTTTCACCTTTAATATTCATTGGACTTTGAGTTTGCGTGTATTATTTAGATATATTTCACTTCACATTTTTTGCACGTGTGATGTAATATATGTATGTGCATCCTTTTGCACATGCGTATCGATTTAAATTTTGTGTTTTTATTATAATTTTTGTGTTATCACTAAGCACATTCACTATTATACTTATTATCATTGTTAATATTTCAGCAAGCTGCGCTCTCTGCATGTTGGAGGAAACAGAGGGTCCAGCAGTAGCGGTGGAAGCAGGCGCATCATCCACCAGCCTAACCCAGGTAAGGGGTTACAGTGGTGCCCTCTATCCTTACAGTGTGGCTCTTTTGGTGTTTTCACTTTGGTTTTGTTGCCTTCCCTGGTACAGAAGCTTGTTTCTGTGGCACAGAAGTGAATCCGCTCTGCTCAACGCCTCAGGGGGATGACTTAGGAGTATTTTGGGCTAAGCCTCCCCCCTCTTCTTTCTCTCTCACTCCCTCGCCCTCTCTCACACCTTGACAGCGGTTTTTGACGGTGGGCTATGGAGGATCCGGCCGGATGGGATCCTGACGTAGTTTTTTCTGTTGCCCTGCTCCTTTTCTATGTTTCAGGTCAAGGCAAAAGGGGTCTCATCAATTAAAAGAAAGTGTCCGTCTTGTAGGAAACCCTGAGAGATTCATGGCTTGAACCGCTCTGTAAAGCATGTTTGGCAGATTTAGTAAAAGAAAAATCTTCGCAGCAATGCAGTGACATGTTTGCGGCTGTCAAAAAGGAATTGTTGGAAACCCATGGATCGGTCCAATCTTTGGGTAAACTGCCAATGCTTCACCCGCCTTTGCAACAGAGCACCTCGTCCAGTCCTTGGCCGTTCTTTTCAGGCCAGAAGGATATCAGCGACTCAGATGAAGAGGGAGAGAGCGTCCTTCCATCCCTCGGAGATTCAGAGGAGGAGAATGGTGAGGAGAAGGTTGCAAGCTCGTCAAGATGCAAACTTTCATTGGAGGAGGTGGACAACCTGCTGAAAGCAATATATACGATGTTGAAGATCTGGGAGGAGAATGTCCAGCTGTCTATGTTTAGCTGGGACAAGCTAAACATAGTCTTCTCTGTCCATAGGGTTTTATCAGACTCTGTAAAGAAAGAATGGAAGGATCCAGAAAGGGGCCCTTTTTTTCTCCAAATTCCTAAGAAGAAGGTTTCCCTTCAAGGAAGAAGAGTCCCTGGTGTGGAATAAGAAACTGTGGTTGGACGCTGCCTTCTCGCAGGTTTCAAGACGCACAGACCTGGCTTTTGAGGATATGGGCATTCTGAAGGATGCAATGGATAAGAGGGCAGACTCGCTCCTTAAAAAAGCGTGGTACTCTTCCCTGACCAACCTCAAGCCGGCTATGGCCTTCAGAGTGGTGGCGAGAAATTTGGACTGCTGGTTAGAACAGCTGAGGGATTATGTGGAGGCAGGGACCTCCGGGAGGGAGATTTTGGAGTTGTTGCCGGTCCTTCTAAAAGCCGTGAAGTATATGACCCATCGGCTGAATCTATCAGAATGATGGCCAGGTCTTCGGCGTTGATCAACTCAGCTAGGAGAGCTATCTGGCTCCAGACCTGGTCAAGAGACTCTGCTTTCAAGGTGACGTTATGCGGAATCCCCCTTTCTGCGGACCTGCTCTTTGGCTCGGATCTGGAGTCAGTGCTGGATTGAACGGCGGATAAGAAAAAGGCTTTCCCTTCAAAAAGTAAGACGCAACCGGTCAGAAAGAATTTTCGTCCTTTTTCACAAACTCAAAGAAATAAGGAACAGACCCAGAAAAGAAGTTGGAGTTTCCAGAGAAACAGGGGTCAAGGAGGAGTACTCTTCAGACCCCCGGAGCGGCCGTCCAAGAGCCAATGACATCTCTTTTCCAGTGGGAGGGAGGCTTCTGGCTTTCTGATTGTGGGAAGAAGCAACATCAAGTGCCTTTGTCAGAAATATCATGTCCCAGGGGTACGGCCTGGAGTTCTCCTGGACCCCACCAACCAGATTTTGTGTGACCAGTCTCCCAAGGTGTCAGGTGATGGCCTCTGCAATGACGTCCTTTTTGAAGGAACTGAGGCAGCCGGAGGTCATAATTCATGTGCCAAGGGAACAAGAAGGCCAGGGGTTCTACTCGCATATCTTCTTAGTCCAAAAGCTTTCAGGGAAAATCCATCTAATCTTGAATCTAAAGCTACTGAACAGGTCCAATCAGTGCAAGCACTTCCGCATGGATACAATTTTTTCAGTAAGGAAGCTGCTATCCCCAGGTTGCTTAATGGCAACTATCGATCTGCGGGAAGCTTATATTCATATTTTGATTACTCAGTCTTCTCAGAAGTTCCTCCGACTGGCAGTCAATCTGGGATCGTCCATCTGGCACCTGCAGTTCAGAGCTGTACCCTTCGGCCTGTCATCTTCTCCAAAGGTGTTAACCAAAGTCATGGCGGAAGCACTAGGACCTCTGAGGTTGAGAGGGATTTCGGTGGTACCATACTTAGGTGATCTTCTCATGTTTGCAGAAACAGGACACAACTGCTGTTGGATCTTCAGACGACTCAGGCTCATCTGAGAAGCTTGGGATGGCTGTTAAATCTGGAACATCCAACCTGATTCAGGCCCAGAGAATAAGGTTCCTGGGTTATAGCATAGATTCCGTCCGACAGCAGATATTCCTTCAAGAAGAAAAAATAGAAAGGATTCAGTCGGCCTTGAAGCAGGTGCAGTGCAACCTGTTGGTATTTGTCAGAACGGCCATGTCAGTCCTGGGACTGCTTACCGCCGCCATCCCAGCGATTCAGTGGGCCAGATTCCATTCTGCCTCCTGCAAGGGGACATCCTGCGAAAGTGGACATATCCGGATCCGCTGGACATGCTTATAAGGATCTCTCCAAAGGTAAAGAGGGCGCTTTGGTGGTGGCGAGATCCGTCCAATTTAGAGAGGGGCCTTCCATGGTCATTTCCGAAGGCCGAACACTTAACGACAGATGCGAGTGCATGGGGGTGGGGAGCCCATTTCGGAGATCAGTCAGCACAGGGCCCGTGGTCCAAAGCGAAGGCCAGGAAGTCCTCCAACTGGAGGGAATTGAAAGCCATCCAGCTGGGTCTTCTTTCCTTTCATTAGTGAAAGGGCAGCACATTCAGGTCCTATCGAACAATAGAACAGTGGTAGCTTACATTTCCAGGCAGGGGGGCACAAGGAGCAGGGGTCTCCTGGAGTTGGCTCTAGAGATCCTGTCTTGGGCAGAAAAGAATTTGGCCTCCCTTTCGGCCATTCACTTAAAAGGCTTGCAGTATCTGCTGGCGGATTTCCTGAGCAGAAGAAAAGTAGTAGAATCCGAGTGGGGTTTGAATGAGGGAGTGTTTTGGAGTTCCTCAGGTCGACCTATTTGCAAGCCACCTAAACACAAAGGCACCGGTGTTTTTCTCCCTTCACAAGGAAGACCAGGCTCTGGGCCTGGATGCGTTAGCACATCCCTGGAATTACCCTTTGTCCTATGTGTTCCCCACTTTTCAGCTCATTCCTCTAGTACTTCGAAAGTTCAAGCAGGAAACAACAGGCTTAATCCTGATATCACTCTACTGGCCAAAAAGGCCTTAATTCTCAACGCTTCGGAACCTATCCTCCAGCCCCCCCTTGAAACTGCCAGTCAGATAGGATTTGCTAGTCCAGGGGCCAGTGCTGCATCCAGAAGTAGAGCGATTCAACCTAACAGCGTGGTTCTTGAAGAAGAACTCCTAAGAAGAAAGGGGCTATCGGAGAAGCTTATCGCCACCTTGCGCTCAATCAGAAAAGAAGTGACTAGAGCGATTTATCTGAACGTATGGGGAAAGTATATTTCCTGGTGTTCAGAGAAGCTCAGTTCAGTCGAACTTCTTATTTACACTCTTTATGGGAAACCGCAAGGGAGAGAGAGCCTCCAAAAGTACTCTGGGTAGATGGCTCAGACAGGCCATCAAAGAAGCCTACGGGGCACTAGACAAAGTACCTCTGGTGGAGGTCATAGCACACTCTACAAGATTGGTGGCGGCCTCTTGGGCTGAAAAGGCTGGTGCATCTCCGAAACAGATTTGCAAAGCGGCTACGTGGTCCAGTTTTCTCCACATTTATACTCCATTGTAGATTGGATTTGTTGGCCACGACAGACCAGTCTTTTGGTAGGAAAGTCCTGCAAGCAGTGGTCCCACCCTAGGGGTAAGTTACTCGGTTATCTTCTACAGGTGCTGTCCTGAAGGACGAGGGGAGAAATCCTTAGTTATACTTACCGGTGACGGTATTTCTAGGAGCCCTTCAGGACAGCAGTCTCTAACCCCCCCCCCCCCCCCTTTTTTTTTTAATGTCTGTAATTCTGTGGTTGGCATGGTATCTGTTTTTTTTTTTTCTTTTCCATTTTTGTTTTCCAGCATGTCAGAGGTTACTCGGCTATAACTGAGGGCATGGTGGAAGAGGGGGACTTTTAAGCTGCGGTGTTTCCTGTGTTATGGATGGAGCTACACTCTCTCTAGGTGCTGTTCTGAAGGGCTTCTAGAAAAACTGTCACCAGAAAGTCTGTCTAAGGATTTTTTCTGTCTTTCTGTCAGTTAATAGTGGAGATATCCTCTATGTCAGCAGAGTCTCTAAGCTTCTGTGTAAACAGCGGGATCTTATCACAGTTGCTGGATGAGCTTTCTGGGGATGATGTGCTGGTCAGGTAAGAGTTAACACATCTAAAACAATGTTATTGCTTTATTTTGAAGTTTATCTGCTCAGGATCTCTCTGGTCTGGGCAATCCCATTTGGGTTTATTGACAGATTTAAGGCCTTTTCAAGGAATACTTCTTTCCATTATTGAATGGCAGGAAGTTTGCTGTATTCAGAGATTCCAGCAGTGTCTTGTTTCATTAGGGTGAAAACTTTTTTCCTATTCTTTACAGTAGAAGACAAACTAGGACAAAAGTTCAGCACCAGGATTGTGGCTTCTGTTTATGTTTTAAAGTAAAATTCTAATGGATTTAGGTCACCTTTACTTTAGATAAGTTCATAAGATTTTAACCACTTCAATACTGGGCACTTTTACCCCCTTCCTGCCCAGGCCAATTTTCAGCTTTCAGCACTGTCGCACTTTGACAATTGCGCGGTCATGCAACACTGTACCCATATGAAATTTTTATAAATCTTTTCATGCAAGTACAGCTTTCTTTTGTAAAATAGACAGTTCAAGGTATTTAGTAAGAGGCATGGTGAGTTTTTTGGAGGTTGTAATTTTTGTTACAATCTTTTGGAAAATTTAGAAATTTAAAAAAAATCTATTTTTTTTTCTAATTGTCACCAGTCCAGTACAGCGTTATTATATAACTGGTGTGGTGGTGATCAGAGACACTGACTGGTGACTGGTATGTAAAAAAAAAAAAAAAACCTTTTTAAGCTTTTTTTAGGATCTGCTGCTACAGCTGTTGGGTATCCTTTGGATTATGCAGAGTAATTGTCCATTGAAACCGGTAGCAAATTGATTAAAACAAGCTACAGCAACTTGGTTTAAATCCATTGTGCATAGCTACAGGAACAGCTTATACCAATCATGCTTAATGCCAGAGGAGGTAGGTGATATCTCTGCAGATGAGAGGAAGAAAGGCTGTGGTTGAGGAGTCGCACTGCAGGCTTGAACTTTCAAGCATAGCATGCTCTATATTTTTTACCCATCTGTGAGTTTAAGGGGAATAATGACCATTACTCTGCACCCTTAGAAGCTCATCCCTGACAAGTCCAGGATCATATCTCAGTATCCTTTCCACACAGATAACACAAATCTGTAACACTTTGATTCACTTTAAAAGCCAGGCAGATTTAACTACTCGCTGTGCTGCTCTGTTAGTATGAAGTTTTTCCAGTATGTACCTTGACAGTATAGAATATATTTTTTTTCCTGGGCATTCTGCAGAGTGACCTGCACAGAGATGGTCACAACTCTAGCTTCCACGCTTCATGGACGGCAGTACTTGGCACAGCAAGGAATCATCGACCGAATATCCAACATGATCCTGGGGCTGATTCTGACCCATTTTCCGGGTTTTATTTGCCAGGTAAATATCCATGCTTTTAAGGTGTATCTATAGGCATAACTATGGCGTAACCTTATCTGGTGACTAACGTCCAAGAAGACTTGTCTTCGGGACAAAAACCCTACAGGTTTCTTTAGCCAAAAGAAAAAGTTTTAAAGTGTTACTAAACCCAGGACCCTGGTCTCCCATGGTACAGAGAATATGGAAGTGCAATTATTTTAGTAAATATAAACTGCTAAATATCTTTCCTCATCAGCAGTTAGAGCATTCTTGTGAATTCTATCAGTGTCCAGCCGAGCACATGTTAAAGCTTGTAGGAGGAGTTTTCATTCTGCTCTAAGAAGATGCAGGACCCCTGACATCTGCCTGGACAGTGCTTATTGGCCCTGTGCTGATCACATGCACTCTCCCAAGAAAAAAAACACCTCTCTAGCAATACACACCAAACTGAGCATATGCAGAGTGTTGCCATACGATCAGGAGTTTTTACACAATGCAGAGGATTAACACCGTAGGTTCCACAGTGAGTATAACAAGCATGCTTTACTTCATATACAGGCTGATTTTACTATTGTGGGTTTAGTAACACTTTATTCTGAAAACAAAATTATAATAATTAAATAATATATATATATATATATATATATATATATATATATATATATATATAATTTTTTTTTTTTTATTACTGTTCTTTATGAAAAGAAAATAGCCAGCGTATTTCAAATATTGATAGAAGTGACCAGCACTCCCAAAAAAAGTTCAGTATTGTCCCTGTATAACCAAAGATTAGACGTCAACATCCATCAACTTCTTCCTGTGAATCCAATCTTAATCCGTGTTTTTACACTGAATGTTTGTCAGAGCATAGATATTTAAAAATATATGGTTTTATAAGGATTTACTCCACTATGGCCTCTGTATGATATCTCTTGCATGGGAGTTAAGAAGGGGACTACTGAAAGTGGAGGAGTTTGGTAGAACGTGATTTGAATGGCACCAATCTGGTAAGGTGCACAGAGTGACATTTGTATGTGGTGGATCTGTATCATTTAAAGGGATATGCACTATTTTGGTGGTACGGAAAAGTAATTTTACATTTTTGTTGTTTTGGGGGGGGGTTTATTATGCATAATATCACACTATACTAGTCTTTGTTTTTTTGGGGACCAGTCACACAAGTCACGCTGGCAAAGAGCAGGAAGAAGGTGGAATGGTTTATTAGTAGTTTGGTATGGAGCTTGTCTTTGGCGATGTGATACACTTGGTGGATCCTTCTATCGGTAGTAATGGGAATGCACAGTTAATAAATTATGATGTGAGTGGCTTTCTATCTGAGAGAGATTTTTGGAAAACAGTATTACACAAAATTGGTATTTTGTATTTTTGGTGAAATTTTGTGGATCTTTATGTGAGATGACCATTGAAGTACCAGACACAAGGAGACAGAGTTGAAGTGAATCTGAAAATAATTGATTGGATATACAAGTATATGAAGGGTAAGGGTAGATAAAGAAGAACACTGGTAAATAAATACAAATACGGTTTTTTATTATAAATGTGAGCACATTGGACAGAATTTTAAGCATGGTGTATTGAGCATACTACACTATAATATATATATATATATATATATGTGTGTGTTTGGGAGATCGCTGTAAGGGAAGATTGGATTCACAGGAAGAAATTGATGGGTATATGATGTCTGATCTTCAGTTATACAGAGACAATATTGAACTTATTATTTTGACAGCGCTGGTCACTTCTATCATCATTTCTTTCTGTGAGGGGAACAGATTGACTCCAGCTGCTAAGGGAATGATCATTGTTTACTAAATTTTGTTTGTATAAAGAAAAAAAAAAAGAGGGGTTCCAGGACGCTGTTTAAAATATTTATTTTAAAATATTGCACTTATGCATTTCAAGCAAGGTGAATAAATCCGCCTCTTTCATTCAGTAAAGTTCTCCTACCGAGTTTCAGGCACAGGGTGTTTTGGGGACACATGTTGCACATGGAGGATCAATTGGAGGAATTACTAATTTATTGTTCAGTGGTAAGGCTAGAGTTGGGGAGATGACTCAGGAGTAAATAGTGCTATTACTGTATCTATACAGTATAGTGGGGTTGTTTTGACTCACAAGACCAGCTAAACAGAATTATGTGTATTTTGCCAGGGAAAACAGTTAAATATGTTTTCAGCCCCAAGGTTGATGTTCTTTTATTAGAAAAGTATAATTTCAGTGTAGAAATCAAATACTGAAAAATATATAGTGATACTCGTGAGCCAAAATGCGATACTCCCTTAGTGCAAAAAAATATATATTTTAAATCAAATAAATGGTGCATCAACACTTTACACAATACTCATTATCTGTGTGAAACATGTGATATATAACAATAAGTGTATATATATCCTCAGATATATACACAGGTGTCGCGCTCCATATATACCAATAATCATATAAATAATACTGTGACAAAACTTATAGTGCTAAAAAACAGTGCAACATATAGTGCTCAACAAAAATAAATGCTGATTCAACAAAAAGTCCTCTTTATGCTTTAAATATATTCAGTGACTCTGTGCCGTGCCACACACTCCCCGTGCTCTAAAGATAGATGTGAGCTCACCTCCTTTTTTAGCCAACCACAGTGGCTAACAGCGCTTTTTGTCCTCTCAGGACTAGGTAGTAATCTTCATATATTAAATATATGTATCCATCCATGCCATGGATGTATTGCCTTTTTCCTGCCACCAGAGGTCTCCCTTTTTCCTCCTTCCACACTGAGCCTCAATGGATAGTAGGGATGGTTATTAGTAGTACTTTTCTCCTCCCAGTGAATTGGGATACCATGTAAAAAAGAGTCACAATGGTGCCTTATCCTTTGTGAGGTTTAAGTGATTTATTAAAAATTTTCCACTCACATAGTGCTGTCTCTCACAGAGCTGTATCCGACAGAGCTTGTGCCCAGATCCTGTGTTTGTAAGTGCCGCTCGTCCTCCGCGGCGTTGTGATGTCAGAGCCCCTCCCCCAGGGCGCTGTTAGCCACTGTGGTTGGCTAAAAAAGGAGGTGAGCGCACATCTATCTTTAGAGCACGGGGAGTGTGGCACGGCACAGAATTTGTCACTGAATATATTTAAAGCATAAAGAGGACTTTTTGTTGAATCAGCATTTATTTTTGTTGAGCACTATATGTTGCACTGTTTTTTTTAGCACTATAAGTTTTGTCACAGTATTATTTATATGATTATTGGTATATATGGAGCACGACACCTGTGTATATATCTGAGGATATATATACACTTATTGTTATAATTTCAGTGTAGGGTACTGCTATTCCACAGAAGACAGGAAAGGAGAAGGAAGTGTTCTAGTAGAATACGTTTATCTGCTACTTACTACTAACTACTAATTCTACATTATTGTCTCCAGGCCTGGTAAAATTCTTTGGGAATTTGGCTGTTATGGACAGTCCACAGCAGATCTGTGAACATTACCCTGCATTCCTGCAGAAAGTCTTTGACATGGCAGAAGGTCATGAGACAACCATGATCGGAGTGGCTGTGGACACATTAGAAATTATGGGTTCCACCGTGGAAGGGAAACAAGTTCTACAGAAGACTGGTGTGTGCGCTTATCTGTCAGTACATAAACTGAAGACCTGACTATCAGGCTGTGTTCTGTTGATTTAAAGGAAAATACAGCTTATTATCAGGAAATATGCACTTTTTTGCATCAATGTTTACCTGAAAGTGTTTTTGATGCCACTTAATATGTTTTACCTAGTAATTGTTGATCAGTAATTAATCATTTCCATGTGCTACTAAGTCATACAATCCCCTGTTTGTCAGCAGACTTTATTGCAGATTTGTTATCTGCCTTTGCTATTTGGGTATTGGGTTAGACCATCTGTTTGCACTTTCTAAATAAGTGTTGGAGGTATTGCCTTTACCGTAACCGTATGATCAGTCCGGATGTTATAGGATGTAATGTTGAACCCTGGTATGCTTCTAGACCAAGGGTATTTAATTAAAATTCACGGAAGTCTAGTCAGTAAAAATGTTTTTAAGCAGAGGTGAAAATCACATGTTTAATTCTTATTGGCACCTCTGCTCATTGGTATGTTTTTGAGAGTGCCTAACCACATGGTGCCGCAGCTTTATGTGGCTCGGCGTGGCACAATTTAAAGCAACGGTCAGAGACTTATTTTCTGCGTTTCTGCATATAAGACAGCCCACTGAATGAATGGGCTGCCTACACGCAGGATGCAGTGATGTGAACTAAGCCTCAGATCCTTCACATCACAATCTCATTATTACATCAGTGTTCTCAGTCCCCCTGCACATCACAACCCCCCTTCTTTATATCACAGCCCCCCTTCACACGAAAATCCCCCACTCCCCTTTACATCACAGTCCCCCCTCCTCACATCAGTCTCCAGCCCCCCTTCACATTCCTGTCTTTGGTACCCCTTCAAATCTTCCCCTTCACATTCCTATCTTTGATCTCCCTTCATATCACCCCCACATCACATTCTTGTCCTCACCCCCTTTTTAGCACCCCCCTTCACATTGCATTATCCGACCTACCTTCATATTGTCTCAGCTTCCTCTCCCCTCCGTCACAGCAGGGACATAGCCCTCTTCCCTCTCTTACCTTACACAGGGTGGCGGGCAGGAGGCATGGCAGGTCTAGAGCTAACATTGGGAAGCAAGACCGTTCTGGATGGAGGGGGCGGAGATGCACAACTTTTTCTGTTAACTAGCTTGTGATTGGTTGCTGGAACTTCCCTGCATCCTAGCAACCAGTCAGTTACCTGGGGCAGCTCCTGTCCTTCCAGCACTGTGATGCCTTCTGATATCAGCTCTGCGGCTGAGGGGAAGAACTGGTGGCTCCTAAGCGGCGTGACTGGGGTGAGCCTGGATGGAGCAGTGACTTGGTTCAGATCTGGACCGTGGTCCGCCATTTAGTGCTACCTGTTCTAGACCATGGGAGGACTTTAGATGTCAAGGGGTCTCTGCGTGTCTGTCTGTCTCCTTTTTCTTTTCCCTATTTTTTTTTTCACAGCGCACTGTGAAGGTTTATAAGGATTGATTTACTAAAACTGTAACATGCAAAATTTTCTGCAGCTGTGTATGTTAACCAGTCAGCTTCTAACTTCAGCTTATTAATTTAAGCTTTGACAAAAAAACTGAAAGCTGATTGGTTTGTATGCAGAGCTGCACCAGATTTTGCACTCTCCAGTTTTAGCAACTCAACTCCATCATGTTTGAATGATGAGTGGTGTTACTGCAGGAATGCACAAAGTACTCTTTTATTTCTTTTAACAGGAAGAGCGGTGGGACACTTTTTTGTGTTTTTTTTTATTTTTGTAAACTTGCAAAACTCTGTAAAGCTGTATCTGATTAAAAAAAAAAAAGAAACAAAAAGATGTGCATAATAGAAGGGAATACCTTTTTCCAAGCAAAACGATGCTGGTAATTTGACCATAAAGTGATACTAAAGTCTTTTCTTTTTCTTTTTTAATAACAGACATGTCATACTTACCTGTTCTGTGTAGTGGTTTTGCATAGAGCAGCCTGGATTCTCTTTTTTTTTTCGGGGCCCCTGCCAGTGCTCCTGTCCCCTCCCCCCTGTTGGGTGCCCCCACAGCAAGCAGCTTGCTATTTGGGCACCCGAGTAGGCATGCTCCCAAGCTGTGGCTCTGCGTGTCCATTTACACAGAGAGCCATGGCTCTCGTGGACATCTCTGGATCGAGATGGGGCTCAGGTAAATGTTAAGTGGGCTGCTACACACAGAAGGTTTTTTACCTTCATGCATAGAATGCATGAAGGTAAAATACCTTGAGCCTTTAGAACCACTTTAAGCCCTGTGCATAGTTTTGGGAGAGGCAGTTAGCCAGTAGCACCAGTAGCAGGTGATGCACATTCTGGAATATCTGGGCTACAGATTACTGTGAAAGACAACCTTTTGTATGATCAAAGCTGACTGAGGAGGGAAATGAATATTATTTAATGCACAGGTCATTTGATATGTGCATTACACTGTTTTTTATAAAACTGCAGTTTTGCTTCAATTTCCTAATTTATGCATTGAAATGACTCATGTTTGTGACCGTATGATGGCTTGTACTATCTGTGTTACAGATCAAACATAATAAACTGTTCTGCACTTTTTACAAATAGAATATTGGTTTAAGCATTTGTATCATAGGAGAGGATTATAGCATTTTTAGAGTATCAGAGATACAATCATGGCTAAAAATATTGGCACCCCTGAATTTCTGTTAGATAATGTACCACTTCTCCCCAGAAAATTGTTTGCAATTACAAATGCTTAGGCATTCTCATGTCTCTTTCTTTTGTTTGTATTGGTATGGCACAAAAAGCCAAATCTGACACATTCCACGCAAACCCCAAAAATGGAATGGACAGAATAATTGGCACCCTCTCAAAATTGTAAGAAATAATTGCATTTCAAGTTTGTGATGCTCCTGTAATTTGTAATTAAGCTCACCTGTATCAATTAACAGGTGATGACAAAATCGAAATCACACCGGCAACCAGTTAAAATCAACCTTTCTGTTGTGTGCCACATGGAGCATCAAGAAGATAAAGAGCAGCAAAGAATTGTCTGAGGCTTTGAGAACAAAAATTGTGGAAAAGCATGGACAAGCTCAAGGTTACAACTTTGGAGATCTTAATGTTCCTGTGTCCACTGTGTGCAACATTGTCAGGAAGTTTACAGCCAATAGCACTGTAGCTAATCTCCCTGGACATGGACGAAAGAGAAAAACTGTTCAAAGATTGCAATGAGGGAATATTCGAATGGTGGAAGAAACTCAAATCAACTTCCAGACAAATTCAAGCTAACCTCCAGGCGCAGGCAGCAACTGTGTCAGCTTGCACTATACATTGCCTTCTGAATGAAAAGGGACTGTATGGTAGGAGACCCAGGAGGACCCCACTGCTGACACAAAAACATAAATAAAACAGATTGGATTTTGCCAAAACTTAACTGAGGAATCCAAAATCCTTTTGGGAGAATGTTCTGTGGACAGACAAAACAAAATTACAGCTTTTTGGTAAAGCCCATCATTCTGCTGTTTTCAGAAAAGAAATGAGGCCTTTAAAGAAAAAATACAGTCCCTACAGTCAAACATGGTGGAGGTTCACTGATGTTTTGAGGTTGCTTTGCTGCTTCAGGCACTGGATGTCTTGACTGTGTGCTGGGCATTATGAAATCTCAAGACTATCAAAGAATTCTGGGGCGCAATGTACGGCCCAGTGTCAGAAAGTTGGGTCTCCGTCAGAGGTCATGGGTCTTACAGCATTACAATGACTCAAAGCACACTTCAAAAAGCACCCAGAAATTGTTTCAGACAAAGCACTGGAGAATACTGAACTGGCCAGCAATGAGTACAGATCTCAATCCCAAAGAACACCTGTGGAGAGATCTCAAAACCAGGAGCTGGCAAAAGAAGAGTGGTCCAAAATTCCAGTAGAGAGGTTTAAGAAACTCATTGATGGTTACAGGAAGAAATTGATTTCAGTTTTTTTTTTCCCAAGAAGTGTGCTACCAAGTATTAAATTGAGGATGCCAATCATTTTGTCCAGTTAAGTTTGGGGGCTTTGCATGGAATGTGTCAGAGTTGGCTTTTTGTTTCTCCACTTTTTTGTGTCATACCAATACAAGCAAAAGAAATAAACATGAGAATGCCTAAACATTTGTAATTGCAACAATTTTCTGGGTGAAGTGGTGCATTATCTGACAGAAATACAGGGGTGCCAATATTTTTGACCATGGCTGTATAAGCATACTGAAGTGAGAACATAGTCAGCTGGCTCTGACTATATGGTATATAAAGCAGTGGCTATGTGCTTTAGCTGTGTATTTAATTGTTCAGCTACAGTTGCCTTTTGTTTACCATGTAAAAAGGTTATTATGCAAAGCAGATTCCAAGTGCTCCAGTTTTTTGGTGAATTTCCTCCATGGTTTGCTGTGGAGGCACTTGAGTGGCTTGAACAGAGCCATGACCTCAACCCTACTGATCACTTTTGTGATAAACTTAAAAAATAAATTCACTTTTATTGTACATCATGGGATACAGAGCAGGCTATGCATGACTATGTGGATTATATGCCACCTATAGGTGAATGGACACTGAGAGACCAATCAGAGAGGAAGTCCTCCCCTATATAAACCATCCTACACAGGAAGTACTTCAGTTTTTTCGCCAGTGTCTGTAAGGTGGATGGTCATTGAAAGTGTTGCATGTACTCTAGGAGCATACCTGAAGGTCCAGAATGGTTCCATTAGAGAATCAGGGACTTTAATCGGATCCATTCAGAAAGCTGTTAGCCAATATGGATGGTACTTGAGCCTCGCTGGATAAGGAGAAGAATCCTTGGGGTTTTGCCTGTAAAGCAGCCTTATGGTGCTTGACTCTGCATAACGGAACTCTGTGCAGTATAATACTGACCAAGGTGCTTTCCGACGGGGTGCTGAACAGGTCCGATGCAGTGGCCCCACATTATGGGGACCGAGTCCTTGAAGGTCTGCATGACAAAGCCCGCCATGATGGGTGAAGGTTGGACTCCTGTTATGATTCAGGGTTCTGTGG